CATGCCCATCCCCATCCCCATCCCTATGTCCCACCATGCCCATCCCCATCCCCATCCCTATGTCCCACCATGACCATCCCCATCCCCATCCCTATGTCCTACCATGACCATCCCCATCCCCATCCCTATGTCCTACCATGACCATGACCATGATCATCCCCACCCCTAAGTCCCACCATGACCATGACCATCCCCATCCCTATGTCCCACCATGACCATCCCCATCCCCATCCCTATGTCCTACCATGACCATCCCCATCCCCATCCCTATGTCCCACCATGACCATCCCCATCCCCATCCCTATGTCCTACCATGACCATCCCCATCCCCATCCCTATGTCCTACCATGCCCATCCCCATCCCCATCCCTATGTCCCACCATGACCATCCCCATCCCTATGTCCTACCATGCCCATCCCCATCCCTATGTCCTACCATGCCCATCCCCATCCCTATGTCCTACCATGCCCATCCCCATCCCTATGTCCTACCATCCCCATCCCCATCCCTATGTCCTACCATGACCATCCCCATCCCCATCCCTATGTCCCACCATGCCCATCCCCATCCCTATGTCCTACCATGACCATCCCCATCCCCATCCCTATGTCCCACCATGACCATCCCCATCCCTATGTCCCACCATCCCCATCCCCATCCCCATCCCCATCCCTATGTCCTACCATGACCATCCCCATCCCCATCCCCCACCATGACCATGACCATCCCCATCCCTATGTCCTACCATGACCACCCCATCCCCATCCCTATGTCCCACCATCCCCATCCATCCCCATGTCCCACCATCACCATCCCCATCCCCATCCCTATGTCCCACCATCCCCATCCCCATCCCCATCCCCATCCCCATCCCTATGTCCCACCATGACCATCCCCATCCCCATCCCCATGTCCCACCATCCCCATCCCCATCCCTATGTCCTACCATGACCACCCCATCCCCATCCCTATGTCCTACCATCCCCATCCCCATCCCCATGTCCCACCATGACCATCCCCATCCCCATCCCCATCCCTATGTCCCACCATGCCCATCCCCATCCCCATCCCCATGTCCCACCATGACCATCCATCCCCATGTCCCACCATGCCCATCCCCATCCCCATCCCTATGTCCCACCATGCCCATCCATCCCTTTGTCCCACCATGCCCATCCCCATCCCCATCCCCATGTCCCACCATGACCATCCCCATCCCCATCCCTATGTCCCACCATCCCCATCCCCATCCCCATGTCCTACCATGACCATGACCATCCCCATGCCCATCCCCATGTCCCACCATCCCCATCCCCATCCCCATGCCCATCCCTATGTCCTACCATGATCATGACCATGACCATCCCCATCCCTATGTCCCACCACGCCCATCCCCATCCCCATCCCCTACCATGACCATCTGCATCCCCATCCCCATCCCTATGTCCCACCATCCCCATCCCCATCCCCATCCCCTACCATGACCATCTGCATCCCCATCCCCATGTCCTACCATTCCCATCTCCATCCCCATCCCCATCCCATCCCCATGCCCATCCATCCCTATGTCCCACCATGACCATGACCATTCCCATCCCCACCCCTATGTCCCACCATGACCATCCCCATCCATCTCCATCCCCATCCCTATGTCCCACCATGACCATCCCCATCCCCATCCCTATGTCCCACCATCCCCATCCATCCCTATGTCCCACCATGACCATGACCATCCCCATCCCCATCCCTATGTCCCACCATCACCATCCCCATCCCCATCCCTATGTCCCACCATCCCCATCCCCATCCCCATCCCCATGTCCCACCATCCCCATCCCCATGTCCCACCATCCCCATCCCCATCCCCATCCCCATCCCCATGTCCCACCATCCCCATCCCCATCCCCATGTCCTACCACCCCCATAACCATCCCCCCCCCCAACTCACCATGCCCATGATGATGCCCATGATGATGATGCCCATGGTGGTGGTGCCCCCCTTTGAGATGCCTCACGCACGTCTCCAGCACCAAGAAGACCACGATCCCGGCCAGCACCCACATCCCCACTGCCAACATCTCCCCGTGCTCGTGACCTGGGGCACGAGGACAAGGACCCCGACGTCGTGCTATGGGTCCCAAAAGCTCCAACGGGACCCATAGAAACCCACCACCATCACCCTATAGATGGGGTGGGGGGGGTTCCATCTCCCTTCCTCTTACCGTGGGGCGAGTGCGCATGGGCGCCGGGCGCGTGCGGTGCTGCGGGACGCACAAAGCAAAAGGGATGATGATGATGATGATGATGATGATGATGATGATGATGATTGGGGGGGGGGGTTGTGCCCCATATCCAGCCCCATTGATGATGATGATGATGATGATGGGGGGATGCTTCACTCACCCAAGGCGTGGGGGATGAGGTGGAGGAAGGCATCGCCCAACAATCCCCCCGCGGCGAAGGCGAGGAGGAGCTTGAGGAGGTCTTGGTTGCGTGGTGAGGCCGAATCCAAGGGGAGGAGGAGGAGGAGGAGGTAGGGGGCGAGGCTGATGATGGCCACGGCGGTCATGGTCTGCAATGGGGGGGGGGGGGGGGAAAGGGTGGGGGGCATCTGTCAAATGTAGGGCATTGGCATCGTCCATTGTCATCGTTGTCGTCATCATCCATCGTCATCATCATCCATCATCATCCATTATCCACCATCCATCATCATCATCATTGTCATCATCATCCATCATCAACATCATCGTCCGTCGTCCATCATCATCATCATCCATCGTCATCCATTATCCATCATCCATCATCATCATCGTCATTGTCATCATCATCCATCATCCATCATCATCGTCGTCATCATCATCATCATCCATCATTCACCATCATCATCATCCATCATCATCCGTTATCCATAATCATCATCATCATCCATCGTCATCCATTATCCATCATCCATCATCATCCGTTATCCATCATCATCATCATCATCCATCATCCATCATCGTCATCATCATCCATCATCATCATCCATCGTTCATCATCATCATCATCATCCATCATCATCCGTTATCCATCATCCATCATCATCCGTTATCCATCATCATCATCATTGTCATCATCATCCATCATCCACCATCATCCATCGTCATCCATTATCCATCATCCATCATCATCATCGTCATTGTCATCATCATCATCCATCATCCATCCTTCATCATCATCATCCATCATCATCCGTTATCCATCATCCATCATCATACGTTATCCATCATCATTATCCATTATCCACCATCCATCATCATCATCATCGTCATCATCATCATCATCCATCATCCATCATCATCCATCGTCATTGTCATCATCATCATCATCATCCATTATCCATTGTCATCACTCATCCATCATCCATCATCATCATCCATCATCCATCCCTCACCATCATCCGTCATCATCGTCATTGTCATTCATTCATCAGACATTGTCATCACCCATTCGTCACCCATCATCTTCATCATCATCCGTCATCCGTTATCCATCCTCACCCATCATCATCATCACCCATCGACCATCCATCATCCATCATCTTCATTGTCATCATCATCCATTATCTATTGTCATTCATCGTCACCCGATTATCCATCATCTTCATCATCATCCATCATCATCCATCACCATCCATCATCCAACATCCATCATCATCCATTATCCATTGTCACCAATCATCCATCATCCATCATCATCCAACATCCATCATCATCCGTCATCCGTTATCCATCGTCACCCATCATCATCATCACCCATCGACCATCCATCATCCATCATCTTCATTGTCATCATCATCCATTATCTATCGTCATTCATCGTCACCCATCGATTATCCATCATCTTCATCATCATCCATTATCCATCATAACCATCTTCATTGTCATCATCACCCATCATCATCAACATCCATTATCCACCGTCATCATCACCCATCCATCATCCATCATACATCATCATCATCCATCCATCATCATCCATCATCCATCATCATCATCCATCATCATCCAACATCCATCATCATCATCCATTATCCATTGTCATCCATCATCATCCATCACCATCCATCATCCAACATCCATCATCATCATCATCCATTATCCATTGTCATCCATCCATCCATCATCCATCATCATCATCATCATCCATCATCCAACATCCATCATCCATCCATCATCCATCATCATCACCCATCCATCATTATCAACATCCATTTTCCACCGTCATCATCATCATCCATTATCATCATCATCATCATCCATCATTATCCATTATCCATTGTCATCATCTATTTGCCATCATCATCCATCATCATCATCCATTACCCATCGTCATCACTCATCATCATCATCATTATCATTACCCATCATCATCGTCATCATCATCCATCATCATCATCATGGTCATCATCCATCATCATCCATCATCATCCATCATCATCCATCATCATCCATCATCACCATCATCCATTACCCATTGTCATCATCCATCATCATCATTCATCATCCATCATCATCCATCAACATCATCATCATCCATCATCACCATCATCCATTACACATTGTCATCACCCATCATCATCATTCATCATCCATCATCACCCATCATCATCATCATCATCCATCATCATCCATCATCATCGATCATCATCATTCATCATCCATCATCATCATCATCCATCATCATCCATCATCATCATCATCATCATCATCATCCATCATCATCCATCATCATCATCATCCATCATCATCCATCATCATCCATCATCATCATCATCATCATCATCCATCATCATCATTCATCATCCATCATCATCCATCATCCATCATCATCATCATCCATCATCATCATCCATCATCATCATCCATCATCCATCATCATCCATCATCCATCATCCATCATCATCCATCATCATCATCATCATCCATCATCATCATTCATCATCCATCATCATCCATCATCATCATCCATCCATCATCATCCATCATCATCATCATCCATCCATCATCATCATCATCATCATCCATCATCATCATCATCATCACCACCACCATCATCACCCCCCATCCACCCCCTCAGCACCACGGACAGCGCACTCACATGCAGCCACAGCGTCACCGTGTCCCGCTCGTGGGGCAGCTCCTCACGCTGTGGGTCCTTGGGCCGGTGCCCATGCTGTGGGGCTCCGTGGGGCTCCCCATGCCCATGGCCATGATGTGGGTCCCCATAGGGATGCCCATGCCCATGGTGTGGGTCTCCATGGTGATGGCCATGATGTGGGTCCCCATAGGGATGCCCTTGATGTGGGTCTCCATGGTGATGCCCATGGTGTGGGTCTCCATGGTGATGGCCATGATGTGGGTCTCCATGGTGATGGCCATGATGTGGGTCTCCATAGGGATGCCCATGGTGTGGGTCTCCATGGTGATGGCCATGATGTGGGTCTTCATGGTGATGCCCATGATGTGGGTCTCCATAGGGATGCCCATGGTGTGGGTCTCCATGGTGATGCCCATGCTGTGGGTCTCCATGGGGCTCCCCATGGCCATGATGTGGGTCTCCATGGTGATGCCCATGATGGGGGTCTCCATGGTGATGGCCATGATGTGGGTCCCCATAGGGATGCCCTTGATGTGGGTCTCCATGGTGATGGCCATGATGTGGGTCTCCATGGTGATTGCCATGATGTGGGTCTCCATAGGGATGCCCATGATGTGGGTCTCCATGGGGCTCCCCATGGCCATGATGGGGGTCTCCATGGGGCTCCCCATGCCCATGCTGTGGGTCTCCATGGTGATGCCCATGGCCATGATGGGGGTCTCCATAGGGTTCTCCATAGGGTTCTCTATAGGGCACTCCATGGGGCTCTCCATGGGGCTCCCCATGGGGGTCCCCGCGCCCCACGGCCACCAGCACCAGCAGCATCGCAATGGTCACCGCGGCCGCCATCGTCCGCTGGGGTCCTCCTACCATAGAGATGTGGGGCAGCCCCATAGGGATCAATGGGGTGCGGGGGGGTGTTACCATAGAGATGTGGGGCAGCCCCATAGGGATCAATGGGGTGGGGGTGTTACCATAGAGATGTGGGGCAGCCCCATAGGGATCAATGGGGGGGGTGTTACCATAGAGATGTGGGGCAGCCCCATAGGGATCAATGGGGGGTGGGGGTGTTACCATAGAGATGTGGGGCAGCCCCATAGGGATCAATGGGGTGCGGGGGGGTGTTACCATA